TTTTTTTTTTTTTTTTTTTCGTCACTCCAACTTTGCTATTATTTTATAAGTATAAGGTGTTTTTTTTTTTTTAATGAAACTTGGAATCCCCGATTTTTATCGTTCCCGTTCGCGCGGGTCTATTAAACGGAAAATTTGCTGCGTCGAGTGAAAATGGCTCTCCAAGTGGGTATATATGATTAAAAAAAGAAGAAAAAAGAAAAGAGCCTCGCTTGGACTTTGGCTTTAATATTGATCCGCAGGTGACGCCGGGGAAATTCACTTATCGAGATCCGATAAATTGCAATCGCCCATCGACCGCGTCGAGCAAATTGCGACCATCGACGTGCCACTGCAGAACGGCGGCACCAAGTCGCAGGAGGAGAATCACGAGTCTGGTAAATCATTTTTATTCTCTTCTTCTTTCTTTTTTTTTTTTTTTTTTCTTTCTATTCAACTGTTAAAGTTTAAAAAGAGAGTTCAAGCGGTTTTCAATCAAAAAGACCAACTCCAACTTTCGTCCAAAATTCATGGTATTAATTTCACGTTCATGTATATATACCGATGAGGGATGAAACGAGATAAAAATGTATTTTTGTGCACACGGAAAACATTTGTTTTGTTGTTGTAGAATACGAGTACCAGCTGTTGGTATGGCCATCGAAGGCCGGTTGGATAAGAAAGACCGCGTGGATAATAACGTGGCCGATTCACCTGATATTCATGTGCACGATCCCGGATTGCGACAAACCCAGGTTCAAAAAGTGGTTCCCCGTGACCTTTCTCATGTGCATCGTCTGGATCGGTTCCCTGAGCTACCTCGTCGCATGGATGATCACCATCATCGGTTCGTTCATTACTGAAAACAAAAGAAAAATGGTACAACGAATCTTGATAAAAAAATCTCGACTTTTTTCCGTACAGGGGACACCCTAAAAATACCAGACTCGGTAATGGGGATCACGTTTCTTGCAGCAGGGACGAGCGTGCCCGAAGCCGTATCCAGTGTCATCGTCGCTAAGCAAGGTAATTTTGCGCGAAATTGACCCCAGTACACGATATCTCTCTGTGACCTTTTTTTCGCTTAGTTTTGCCATTTTGGTCAGGTAGATTTCGGTTGCTTGATGCGAATGTTGTTAAAAAAAAAGAAAAGATTTAAAAACGTTGATGCACGCACTAAACGCCCACAGGTCACGGCTCGATGGGCATAAGCAACTCGATCGGCTCGAACACGTTCGACATACTGCTCTGCCTGGGTCTCCCGTGGCTGATCAAATCATCGTTCGCCCCGACCGTGAAGGGCCAGCACTACATCAGCATCAACTCGGGCGGCCTCGAGTACAGCGCGATCTCCCTCCTCTCGACCCTACTGCTCCTCTACGTCGCCTTCGCCGCGAATCGCTTCCAACTCGACCGCAAGGTCGGACGCGCCTGCCTCTGCATGTACGCCGTCTTCCTCATACTCGCCACCCTCATCGAGCTCAACGTCTTCTTCAGGGTCAACTTGCCCACTTGTCCCCGATAGGGTTCTCAACTACAATATTACTACTATTGCCCAATAATCTCTTGTTCATCCAACACCACCACTATGCTCTCCCTTCGTTCCTACCTTCACACCTATTACCTTCCAACTATAGACAAGTGCGGTTTTTTTTTTTTTTTTTTTTTTTCTTTTTTTTTACTACTACTATTATTGTTCTTACTACAGCTGACATACGCTAACGTAACGTTGAGTGTGTGTTTTATCTTTGGTGTTGATTTCAAATAGATTATCATCATCTGTACAAGCCGCGCGACCTCGAATCAAACATAGCGAGAAAAAAAAAAAAAAAAAATACTGTTACGTCGATATTTTTGTGAATTTCGGTTGTTTACGCCAAATGTGGCTTTAGCATGTTTTTTAAATTGTAAAATTCCATATTTTCTTTCTTTGCAAGAGTTGGTAAAAAATAGTAATAGTAAGTAATAGTTAACAAAATAACAAAAGAAGGGACGAAGAAGAGAGCGTGCCAAGGCAACGATGTGTACGTGTGTGTGCGCGTGTGCTAAATGTGCGTGTACGTTTACAGTTCATTTTTAGGTTCTTTGCACGTGTGAAACAACAACAACAATAATAATAATAATAAAAGCATGAAAATTTGTTGGCCTTATTGAAAGGGTAAACGCTTAGGTACAACTGTTACGTGAAGAATATGAATGATCTTCAACAATTGTTTGACCACTAATAAAATAGACGAATTTACAGTTTATCCATTTTGTGAAACATTTATGTGAAAAAAATATTGATCTTTTGGTTATTTTGTATATTTAACGATATTTTACTTTTGTGTTGTCATTAAATTTATCGAGGTAAAATCGAGTCGTTAAACACAAATCTACCTTATTGACAATATGTACCAATTTTCTTCAGTTTATTAACGTTATTTACCTTAATTTCTCAAAACGTCTGACACAGTTCTTGTATAAGTCTTATTTTCTTCCTTACAAAAAAAAAAAAAAAAAAAAAAATTTCAATAAGTTAGATTTCTGTTTTACGAACTGACAAATCCCTTCAACTGCTGAAATGATAACAGGCACATACGTAATGTATAATTTATCATGACAATCTAATAAATCTCAATGGACAGGCAATTCTCGCGCTTCACTTTTATATATACATCGCAAGAATTGAAATGTCCTTTCAAGTGTGCTAGGCGATAAAATCTCTCGTTAACTCTATTACATTAAGTTTCATAGATTATAAATTTTATTCATTTGTTAGCTATTAATGAAATGGTCACCGATTTTTGTCTACATTAAAAAAAATTTATTTTTTCTGTAACCCCATATAATTGCGTTAATTTGAATGCGTGCGGGTGAGAAGAAAAAAGTATACTATTATACATGGATTCTCGCGTTAAAATGTGTTCTTATACTCGCTTAACAATATAAATTTTAGATTTTTCAGGAATATCCGCAAACCAATGTATCGTTATGTAACTAATTTGATGACCAAAAAGCTTCGGAATCTCGAAAAAGAAAAACTTTGTACATTTAAAAAAAAGGTGACGTATGTATGCAATTTATTACGTAAAGATGGAGAAAAAAAATGCGATGTTTATGCATACATGTACATGTATTACATTAAAAATGTGTCAATAAATCTCATTTCGTACGATACTGCTCCTTTAGTGAATAAATAAATTTAAAAAAAAAAGTTTGCGCAGCTCTAAAAATACGTAAAATGCGAGGCAAAATGTGACACTTGTCGAATTCAGTTTTCTTCTTCAAAATGACCGTCTCCCTTTTCGCGACACAGTAAAACCTGGCCGCTCCGAGTTTTATTACGTTACGAGGAGAAAGAGGGAGAGAAAAAAAAAAGGACGAAGCTCTCGAGGAAAGTGTATACGTGCGTGTTTGTGCACGTCGATGGCCATTTTATGCGACGGGCCGCTCTTGTGGCACTCTTCCCCCTATACATATATGTATATACGTGTTTGATCGGAAGTCGTCAGCCAACTTCCAACTGGTTTTCCCCCGCCCTTACCTCCATTTCTACCCTCGAGGCTCTACAACGTATAGCCCCTACTCTCTCGAAACATCGAGATTTTATATGTATGGCCCTCGATCTTTGATCTATTTTGGCAAAAATATTCACCAAAGAGTTTAATTACCAAACAAAATCTGAATCAACGTGGGTGTTAAAAGTGACACCAAAATGAAAGAACACGAGTTTGTCCCAATGTTTTTCAAAACCCCCTTTTATTTGTATTCATTTTAAAACTCCAACAGTTTTTCCTCGCACGTTCTCATTTTTTCTTTCTCCGGTGCTTTTGCGGGGTAAAATTAATACTCCCTTCGTGCACCACTGCAAGTTTTTTTTTCCCAAACCCAACGCTGACTGATTCATATAACGACTTGAGCCGCTCGTGAGCAGAGTAGCATAGTCCCACTCGACTTTATCGAGCCAAACGAAAGGGCTCTTTTGCTCTCCCACCCCCCAAGTGTTTTCATCTATTTTTTTTCTTTTTTTTTTTTCATTCGGCTCGACAGCGACATAATAAGTCTTTGCAATTCGTTGAGGGGTGCGATTTCTTTATACACCCTATTTTTCGATTCTTTATGCATATACTTGATTATACTTAATAAAACGATGTAGTTTAAGAATCTTTTTTTTACATTTTACTGTTTTGTTTTGACTACAGTTTTACGATTACGATTAAACAACATAGTTACGGTTAACGAGAATTCAATAGTTAATTGATTCGTATTTTTGGATTAAATATGAAATGTAATTATCAATTGAAAGGTGTACCAGTGGATAAGTAAATTTAATTGTTCACTTTTGTTGCACGTTATTGGTAATCGTCAATCAAATTAGATGGTTAATTTTGATTCAAACAAATTAACTCAACTTTTAATTTAAAATACTTTCAATAGAAATTCCAATAAATTAACAATTTAATTGTGACATACAATTGAATAAAATAATTTATTTTTCTTTTTAAATACAAATTGAATGGAAATTCCATTGAAGGATTTATGACCTCGATGAAAAGAACAATACAAACGACGTCATGTTCGTAAAAATGCCACAATGCATGTCTTCTTAGCTGCACAGTGCTCAATTCGCATCATTATTTTTGTTAATTGTTAATCATCATTTTTTTAAATTATTCCAATTGAGAAGGGAAAGTTTCCAAGCTACCCTCAGTTGAGCTTGCATAATACATTATAATCAACGCTGGAGCGAATTAAAAAATCCACAACTACCCTTCACGTGTATACCTGTACTTATCCCGCATTCATACCCTCCGGCACGAATCTCTTTTTTCGCATGAAAAAAAACAAAACCCCTGGCAAGTTTTAAAAAATTCCCCGCCAAAACTCCCGTAAACGTGTGAACAAAAGCTTCCGGAAGTGGGGACCGGAAGGAAGGTACGCAAAGTCGCTTGTTTCCATGCACCGCGTTTCCTTGGGAAAAAAAAGATTTACCCACCGAAAAATTCAATACCCCCGCAACTTTGGCCTTGCACTCTACAGTCAGGCACACACCCTCGGTGCACCCAAGAAATTGGGGATCAGCCGGAAAAGGGACACGTGCTTATTTATTTCCTTGGCAGCCCGTCCGGACGTTCTTCATGTCCGCAGTGTCCGCGCGCTTCTGGGTCTGTAGGTCGGCAGCTGCTGCTCGCGACCCTCTCGGCGGATCCTCCCTCACCCCCCCCCTGTCCTCGGGCGTATTTACTCGCCAAGAGCCAAAACATTTAATTCACCGGAAGAGCTCCCCCCGACGCCAAAACTCTCGCCGAAGCTTGTTTTTGTTATTTATCTTCACAAAATTGAATTCCCCTCTATTCTCTTTTTACCAACTCTGGAGCAAAAGGGGATGGGCCCCTCGATCGTTTAATGCCTGTTTTCGGTAAAAAGGGATGACGTGACGCACATTATCAGCAGCGAAATGATCAACAAAGTGCATGAACTGTGCGGACCCCCAACCGTCCGACCAAAGCCGGTCCTCTACTACTTGGAGCACCCGCACGCCTACCCCTCGCTCTGCTCTCCACGCACAATGCGCCAAAGGGAAGAAAGGTGGTGTCGCGTGGCATAAATCAAAGCACAATGGGCGTCCCTCCTGAATCATATCGCGAAACGGGCATCGGGGGACTCGCGCGCTTGGGACGACAGACAGAGAGCAAAAGTCCGCGGGTGGCTGTGTGTGTTGGAATAAAAGCGAAAGAGTCAAAGCCTCGTATGTGTATAATGTATACACGTGTGCCTGTACGAAAATACATGGACGGGGGAGTGCGTGTATATATATATATGGATGTACGAGTAAAGGGGGTGGGGTGCATTTGACCGAACGTCAGAGCGTAGAGATCTGCAATGCGGCGTTGCCGACGAGGAGGAGTCCGGGGGGGGACCGTACTCGCTCGTTCTCCTTCGGCTGGATTTTGTTGGTGTATACTACCCTCTCTGTCTCGTCTGACCTTTTGCGCGCTCTTTCGACGCTATTGAAAAAAAATTAGCTCGCCGGGGAAGGATTATTTTTGGAGCACCCGCCTTGGCTGTATGTACGTTTGTTTGTTTTCTCGCTTGTTGCGGCCCCTTTGTTTTTCAATACGTCCCTCTTGAATTGCTTTTGGTGAGGTGCTCTCGACGATTTGCGTGTATTTATCGAGGGATTTCGTTTAATCGTTTTGACGATTTAAGGCTGAGGTTTGGGATACAAGTGAGAGCTTTTTATCGTTAAATGTTTCATTACTCATCGATGATGTGCAACAAAAGTATATTACGAGACTTTGGACAACTTGCTGCGATTAAATGTTCTTATACTCGATTAATATTGTAAATTTTAGATTTTTCAGGAATATCCGCAAACCAATGTATCGTTATGTAACTACTAATTTGATGACCAAAAAGCTTCGGAATCTCGAAAAAGAAAAACTTTGTACATTTAAAAAAAGGTGACGTATGTATGCAATTTATTACGTAAAGATGGAGAAAAAAAATGCGATGGTTATGCATATACATGTACACGTATGAATTTTGTTGTATTGTATTTCAGTCGTTTCACCTGCTGTCGCTGCCTCTTTTATCGATCGGTCGAAAACTATTGACTGCCTCAAGTTCCACGCTATTTAAAGGTGTACTCACTATGACGAGTAAACCATTGCGCAACATAAAAACCTCCCGTACTGCTTGAGTTTTTAAGGCACATTTCATCTATTTGTTTATCTATTTACTGATGGCACCGCAATCATCATAACACAGTAAAGATCGAGACAATTACACCTACCAGCCTATCTCTCTGCCTGTTATTACTAAAATCTCTTGAACCACAGTAAAAGTAAAGCATTTACGAATAATGTATTTCGTTTGTTCTTGGACCAGTGCTGGGAGTTGGAATTTTCATCGATCAGAAAAAAAAAACTACTTTGGTGGAAAAAAAAAAAAATAATAAAATAAAAGAATAAGGTCAATTGTGCGAATTAAACAAAGTTTGGTGTTCAAGGCACTGTAGTGCTATTAGAAAACTTTCGTCCAATTAAAACTTGCTGATCAATGAAAACGTGGGTGGAAAAAAAAAAAAAAATGATTACAGGCCATTTTAATGAAATGAATTTTCATGGAAAACACATCCAACTGAACTTTTTTTTTTTTTTTTTTTTTCGTTTTTTGTTACTCTGTGCCGAGAAGCGGATGATGAAGTCAAGACGAGAGGCTCTATTTGCATGTTATGGAGCTTCATGCATAAATTCAATGAAATGTACGACACCGGAAAACTAGGACAGCGCAGGAAGCAGCGGCTGTTAAAAATATATAGACAGCCAAAATTATTCGGGTAAAAAGTTTGTTGATTCGCCGCTATTAGTTTTGTTACGCGTGTCTCTCCCTCTATTCGATATATTCAATGTTGAAAAGAGACACTGAGCAATAATGACGCATTAATCAAGGTAAAAGTGCTCAGGCTCGATTGAAAAATACAAGCCATTCAAGTTCGCCCAGACACCTCGAAGCAGCCTTTCTGGTGAAAAAGTTTGGGAAAAACCTTTCCAAGCTCCCCTTCCCGCACCCCTCGAAGCTATTTCCCTTCCATTCTAAAGACGGAAAGCTGAAAATGCACCGGTGCCTCGTGCCTCAGTAAAATCTTTGCGGAAGGAAAGCGCGCGTCTTTCCCCCTTTCTCCGCTCTATTCTACTATACAGATTCGCCCAACAACCAACCATCCACCTATACATACATACATACATAGGGTAACTGCTGCACCAACAACGGCTCATATATACTTTGGCATCAGCTGCAATGTGCAAGCAGTGAGAGAGCAACGTCAGACTTGCAGAGGCACGCGTGAGTAAGAGAGAAAGAGAGCGTTAAGTGTAAGTAGAAACAGCCCCATGTAGTCAGACGCTCGTGTACATCAGTCGGTATATATATATATGTACTATGTAAGCTTGCGTATAGTTGCGTATGTAAGCATATAGTTATGTACGTATGCACGAGTGGTATGTTGTTGCGTGTAGGTAAACGTGAGAACAGGGAACGTGCGTACGGTGTGCGTATATACATGTACATGTGTACGCGACCGTGGAATCGCGTGGAAGTGACGCGAGAAAAGGGATGAGAGAGAGAAAATGGGAAGCGGCAAATTAGAGCGACTGTTTTGTTCACGCGCGAAACTGAGATTATACGCGCCGGGGCGTTTAATGCGACGCCCGTTGATTGTGTGCGCGAACTTGTTACAAGCTGGATCGTACGGGATACGTGTGTATCCTACATGGAGCGTTTTATCCATTGTATGAATAAACTGTCTATTTTTCTTTTACCTTTTTTTCGTTCCTTTACAAAACAACGTTGGTTCTTTTGTTATTATTAATTGGAGCTTATGTTATCCGTAATGATGATGGATGTTCGGTTTTTCAAGTTAGTTCTGATCTTCTTCAAGTAGTAGGTATAACAAACAAAATAAAAAAATAAATGTCAAACAGTGATAAAACAATAAAAAAATAAAAGGTTGAGAGAAACCAAAGACAAAAAAGAAAAAGGAACCCCAAGACCCAGAGTTCAAAGGAGGATAAAAGTGCTGCGTAGCTCCGAAATCAGTAGTACAGACCCGCGTGACGCCAGACACCGTGGGCCACGATACCATGTGAAGTGAGAAACTGCCAAATTCGAAGCGCAAAAAGCATAATTATGTTTATAAGGTGCCCAACAATCGTCATTTTCGAGTACGAAAGATCGTATCGATAAAACAAATGGGCGTTATAGGCACCGCGAGCGAAACAATGAGGTAAGTATAACCAAACAAAGTACCCACGAGCTGGAAGAATGAAAGAAGGTGGGGGGGGAAGAAAGCTTATGCTCGATGCGGCCCAAGAATAACATATTTATAAGATAGCGAGGAGGAGGAGAGGAACGAGGGGTGGGGGGAGGGGGTGTAGGTGAGCCGAGCCTGCACAGTCGATCCATGCCCCGGATGCGACGAGAACGGCGGGCGTCGTGCGCCTTTGCCGCAGCCCCTTCCCTCCCAACAGCCGTTCCTCTCTCCCTCTTTCCTCGGAGTCGTGCCTATCTGTACACATGTATACCTGTAACTTGTGTCGGAGCTCTCTCTCTATCCCTCCCTCTTTTTGCACGCGCGTATATATATACTTGTATACCTACGGAGACTACCCCACGCACACAGCGCACAAAAGGGGAAGGGGTCAGTCAGCCCCGCTATACCCCTCTCCCTTTGCTCGTGCAGCGCGTACATGTGTGCATACACACACACACACACACAATCACTGTATCTCTCTCTCTCTCTCTCTCTCCATACGATGCACTTATATTTCCCGTCTGACTGGCTGCATGGTTTGTTTTTAAAGACTTACAGCTCTTTCTCTCTCTCTGCGCCCAGCTTCGGCGCTTTACTGCACGTGTAGATTTACTGGAAGGTAAAAGAGAAGAGGAGCGTTATTATCGTCGTTCTGCTCGTTATCTCGGCTCTTTGAGCCCCTGACCGACGTGTATGGGTACAAAAATGTGCACCCAAACATGCTTACATCCTGGGAATAAAAAAAATACTTGTTTCTTTTCTTTTGTTTCTCGTTAATCGAGATAGGAAAGGGTGTGCAATGAGCCGTGGTGTTATCACCATCGACGATCCAATGATCCATGAGCCAGGAAAACGTAAAAGATAAAAATGAGAGGGAAGAAAAAGCTTAGCTCCATCGAGTGCCCAAATCTCTGATGTTGAATATCGAATATCTGAAAGACAATGGAGCGCACACAATTGGCAAGAAAGAGTGGATGCACCACACAAACGCACGTACAGGTACGAGGTAAGAAATAATATCATTTTGGGGGGGGGAAGAAGGAGAGGAGTTACCGGTGTATCCGGCCGACTACCGCATTGACCTTCCATTTCCACGTATGCACGTGCACCGCCCCAGACAATACAACTCACTCTCCCTGTTTTTTCCTCTTTCTTCTTAACAATTACCGCCTGCCAAGCTCACACCTTTACACGCGTATACTAACACGGAACTGTAGAAGTAGCAGGTACGCTGGCACGCCAACAACAGCATATATATATGCCTACGGATACAGGCACGGTAGCAGCGAAGAACGAGTACCGATTATGAGGAGGTATAAAGCGGAGGGGGTGGGTATGGGCAGGTACTCGTATATATTACATACATGTACATCAGGCAGATAGAGAGAGAGAGAGAGAGAGAGAGCGGTGTATACCTACTTATAAATATAGCGAGCTGATAACGCGCTGGTGGTGGAGGCAGTGCAGTGGTGGCGGTGCGAGAGGAGAGGGGGTGAACCACCACCACCACCACCCTGTACGACTGACACCACTGCAAGTTATACGCAGCGTACAAGCACCTCGGGGGGAGGGGTGGTGTTGAACGCGCGTGTATATATATAGATAGATAGATAGATAGGGAGCGCGGAATAAGGGTCGCTGCTGCTTTTAGCAGGCAGCTGCTGCCGCCGCAGTGCGGTCCGCCACCGCGACGTCGCCGGAGCACCTACGTGCGCATACCCACCGACCGCTGCTGGCAGTGTTAGCTCGCTCGTTCGACGTTCCCGTGACATTGTCAGATTGCCAGGCCGACTCTGCATTACCTCATCCGCCTTTTTTTTTTAACTCGCTTACCCGAAAAATACCAACGATACACAAAACCACCTGCCCCCTTCTCCTCCTCACACACACACACACACCCACCCTCCTCCCTTTTCTTCGCCTCCTTACCGCCTGGCCGACGCGCAGTGCCAGACAATACTGTTATTGTTAATATTATTTCAATTGTTAATTGAAACGTGCCGAGCCTCCCTCGGCCAAGGATACTCTCGCCCGAGTGACTCTGTGCCCGTGCGCGCGTGTATATGTGCGCCAGGTCGTTATGCGGCCAAGGCACTACCAGCCCAACCACCAGCACATGTCCCGCGGCATCGATGGATCTTCGTAACAACGGCACGAAAGTCCGTGCCAAGCGCCTCGCTCTTCGGCCAAATTCCATTAGCCGTGCCGTTTCTGTCAACCCTGTTGCACCCGTACGGTGTCAGCTGATTTTTGTCATTGGGGGATACCACGGCTAAGATGTTGCCGATGACCAACGGCTCGGGCCACGAGGTGCTACTTGCCGCGTCCAGATGATACGACGATCTTATGTGTATACTCTGCGAACGAAGGACAAGGGACAATCGATCCTGCACACCAATCTCGGTGATTTGGGGGGCGGGGGGGGGAGGGGGACCGTTAGCGATGGGAGCTCGTTGTCGCGCGTGATTACGCACACGAGTTGTTATCGCGTGTAGGTGTACACCATACTTGATCGGGCATTAAGAGAGTATGGATGGACGCGAGACTACGAGGATGAGCTGCTCGATGGGGGATGCGATCCGCCTCGTCGGACCCTCCGATAGATGATAACCGGCCAAAGTGGGTCGCCGTGCTATTTAACTCCGTTGTATCTATGTCTGTGCAACTTTTTTTTTTTTTTTTTTACGTCATAGACCGTGCGAGACGAGCAAAACAATAACAAGTACCTGTTATTTCGACAATGATAACGATCCTCGACAATACCTCGATAGTGATGTGATCCTGGTGAAGCGGCGCGTTAACTCGAGCTTTCTTAGCGCGTGCAAGAGGAGGGTACACCGCAGTTGGATCAATGGTTTTATCATACACGCACATATGATATTATATGCATGAGGTTGCAGTGGCCCGTACGTCGCGTGTAATGGTGGCCGGGGAAAATTTATCGCAGGAAAAGCTTGAATGAGCCAGTGTACATAAATATACATATATATGTATATGTATATGCATATGTGTGCTCCCGTGCGTGTGTTCACATCGTTGTTGCGATACACGCTCGAGGCGAGTAAGTATCTTTCCAGGGGGTGTATCAGTGCTTGTACAGGTCTATGAAGATCGTGTTTTCGTTCAATCGATACTGGGAAAATCGTTTGAAAGGGATAAAATAAAAAATAAGAAATACATAAGTGATTACTCTGGTGCACGTTCTTGTGGTGGATAAGTGAAGTATTGAGTGTGTGTATATGTGTTTGTGCTCGAGGGGCTATCTATTGCCAGGGAAGAGGAAAAATTTGCCTCTCGATGCAGATTACCGATGAGGACGTCAAAGGAGTGCCGATTTTCGTTCCCCAAAGAGCCCGATTGTTTTCTATAAGCCAGCATCGATGAGCCTTAGGTACGTGTACATGTGTGTGTTTGTTGTAAGGCGGTGGCGATGAAGTGTTTTTTAAAATAAGTACCCGAGAAGGAGAGGGATTGAAATTTCAAATAGACTCTTTCAAAGCCGAGAGCCCCGAGCGATGAAATCGTAAGTGCCTTCTGTCCGAGGTAAAGTGGACGGTGGGTACGTGTGCATGTGTATGTGCGAGTGCACGTAAATATATATGTACGGAGGCGCGGGATAAAAGTTTTAATGCGGTTACACAACTTTCGAGGACACACATGTATATATACGTATAAGCGTTGCGACTGCGGTGCGGTATCACGTGCATTTACATACATACGTATACGCGTACCTACATACGTAAAATGAATCGTCGCGAGGAAATTGATGCCATTGGTTGGCTATGGTTTTTGCTTTTTCGAGTCACATATTTTCTGTATTCTCTCGTGCGAGCATCAAACGCCGATAATTTAATATTTAACGCGATTTACGGATATAGCTCTCGTATGTGTCAACGTTAAAACGCAACAGTCACTATAAGCCCATTATACTCTTGAATTTTCCCAGGAGTAATATACACTCGTGCACGCTGTTTGCCCGATTTTTTGAAAAACCAACGTTCGTATAACGAACAAAATTTATCAACGCTAGCTCACTCATCGCGTAAAAGTACAACATTAACCAGCGCAATAACAAAAATCACCCAATCAAGTACAAATTAAAGGGATGTAGAGAAAACGATACGAATTTGTTCTTTTTTTTTTGTTCCAGCGGTTCATCCGTACCCACGTAGGTATACGCGAAAAGGGAGTCTTCTTTCTGCCTAACATACGACCGGTCTCCTGGATAATTCAAAGCGATAAAAGCAAGAAAAAAAAACAACGAAAATAGAGGGTCCACGAGACGGGGCGAGGGAAAAGAAGAACGAGTGGCTGTAACGATGTCGCGTGCAACGGTATCAGCAAGGACGAGGGCGAGCGGTGCAGCGAGAGGTGGCAGCTCCGTGGCGTCGAGTCTGCACGAGCGAAGGAGACGCAGAGGAGCCGGCGAGTGAGAGACAAAGGGAAGCTCGTACCTTGATTTTTCTCGCGCGCAACAGAGGAGAGGGAGGAAACAGAGTAAAGAGCGTGGGCGTATAATATAAGCACCATGTCGCACGTAATGCTGTGCAACCTCGGGCAGCCGGCGCCGTCGAGCGCGGCGCGCGGCGGTGGCGGTGGCAGCGGTCCCGACACGAGCGCGAGTAGCTCCCAGCAGCGGGAGCAGCGCGATCAGCGCGAGCGCCACGAGCGCCAGCGCCAGCAGCAGCTCATACAACAGGAGGCCCTCGAGCGGCAGCTCCAGCTCGAGAGGGAGCAGCGCATGCAGCTGAGACAACTGCAACAACAGCAACAGCAGCAACTACAACTGCAACAATTGACGGATGTGCCGCACACCGCTCACAGCAGCATGGACGACGACGACTCGTATCCGCTGCCTACGATATATCGGTGAGCTTTCTCTCTCTCTCTCTAGAGCTACGAAGAGCGCTCTGCTCTTAGCTCTTTAATAACAAATTCAATTCAATTCTCTCCTTTTCCATATCACCCGTGGCTATTGTGTTCCGTCGAGGCGTGTGATCGGATACTTCGGGGGTGGTGGTGGGGAGGGTGAGAAAAGTTGAGAGAAGCTTACACGGGGGGGAGGCTTTGGTTAACTCGTTTATCTTGCCCGATCGCCGTGGGGGCTAACTCGATTGTGGTCCTACGACCCACTTGTTGTCTTTGATGCGTATGCGCTTCCTGGGCTAGGTCGGTTGCGTTTCAAGTTTAAGACGATCGCACCACCCCCCACTGTACAGGGATTTTGACTAGATTCTGTTTTATCTTTTTTTTTTTTTTTTTTTTTTTTTTTTTTTTTTTTTTTTTTTTTTTTTTTTTTTTTT